TGCCTGTAACGGGTGTAATATTTGTAAATTTTCCCCTCCTCCTCTTCAGATACATCTAAGACAAAAGTCTGGGCTTGTAGGAGGGATGGAAAAACCTCTTCTTCCAAAGTGGTCTTCGAGTCTGTGTTTCTCCAAAAGTCAGCTTGGAGCACAAAAGAATAAATCTCCACTAAATTTCTGATTTACTGGACTTGTTTAAGCCCTCTGGGGAGTCCCTGTGAGAAGTTCTGTGCTCACTGTCTCCATCACGGTTGGAGTGAGCTGATGGCTACTTTCAGTGGTAACCCAGGGAAACCACACAGTCAAATAATTTGAGGGACAGCTTGACTAAAGTGAATCACGTCAGCATGAAGCTTGGCAGAGCCAGGGGAGCAGTTTTCTGTACATAAGATTTAGGAAGACTCGCAAACCTGAGAACTGAGTTCTGCTTTTGGGTCCCTTGGTTTTTCTGGTCCCTTCCCCCATGTCTCTCCTACGTTCCTGTTTGAATGGAAGATGAAAACTCACATCTTGCTGAATTCTCTGGTCTCGTGCAATGTCTGATTTTTTTGAGTTGACTATGAGGCTGATAGCTGCATTTTTTTCCCTTCCAGGAGTTTGACTTAATTTCCATAAATTTCCATTTCCCATGAGCTTATGAAGCCCCATACCCAGCTCTGCTCTGTCTCCTGTGTCCTGAAAAACCCTGCATAATTTTAATGATTCATATTTCATTTTAAAATCACCTTTGGCAATAGAGGGCTAAGAGAAAGCTGGTACTAATAGTGCATCATTAGAGAGCCAGGAAGGCTCCGTGCCTGGGTAGGGCAGGACCCCCACGGCCACTAAGATAGGGCAGCTGGAGAAAAATTATTCAAGTCTCTGACTGTCACTGCTCAGGCAGTGCTGGAAGGGAAGGTTGCTGTTCTGTATGAGATAAAACACAATTTGGTCCTGAGGACTAATCCCATCCCACAGATGCTGCCAGACTGGTGCTTGAACGGCATTTAGGATTGCACTGATTACAGGAGTGATAGCAGCATGGAAGTGGGTTAGTGTTTCATTCTGTCCTGCCAGTGGCAAACATTGTAGTATTGGATTTTCTTCTTTATTTTTTTTAATGAGGATTTAGCACTCAGTCATGGGGTTTGCAGTGTTGGGGTTTTTTTTAGACTAGAGAGCAGCCAGTGCTAAGCCTTCACATGCACAGCTTTGGGCTTCTACACTGAGCTCATTCTGCACAGCCATGCCCATCATGGTGCTGGGCAGAGACCATGGGACTGGTGGGTTCACACTGATGCAAACACATCAGTTTGGAGGGGGAGCAGAATCAGACTGAACTGTGCTTGGATAGGGCAAAGACGAGGCCAGACCCCTCTCTACCTGTGCATCCAAACAACCCTGAACACAGAATTAGTGTAGATCCAGCATCACACAGACTGTCCTTTCCATGGCGAGCCAACCTAAAGCCTGAGACTTTCAGGTCAAACATGAGCCTGCACACTGCCTAAATCCTCCTTCCTGGGGCCAAAGTGATCTGTAAACATCCGTAAGGACCCAAAGGCTCCCATGGGTGTTCACTGACAGCTGTGGCCACCTTAGTCCACTGATGTTAGGAGACACTGTAAAAAATCCCATTAAACACCTCCACAAGTCTTCCTGCTCCCGAGCTTTTGCAAATGTAGTCCTGAGATCCCAGACCAGCTTCTCTTGAGCAAGTGGGAAATTTTCCCCTGACTTTGAAGAGTTGTTTGAGGTACCAGCTCCAGCAGTGTGCAAAGTCACCTAAAATGAAGTGTTGCTGCATTGATGTGCACAGTGTGCTGGGGTCTGGGCTCATGCAGCCCAGCAAGCAGCTCAGCAGAAAAACATGAAATACAAGGGGTTTGCAGGAGCAGAATTGGCTTTTCTAGTCTTTATGGCCCTCAGGAGTTTGTGTTTGTAAATAATTCTTTCAACAAATTAAAGCATTCTGCTACTGGGGAAAATATTGATTTTTTTTTTTTTTTAACTATATGAGAGTTTTGGTACAAATCAAGACAGGGTAAAAATCTTTAAATATAGTCTTTGATAGAAAGTATGCAATATTCACACTTTTACTGTAACAATTCATAAGAGGGAAAGTCAATGCTATTCTAGACAACTTCCCAAGCTCCTTAAAGATTTCTCAGTGCAATTATGGAATGAATCAAGGCTTTCAAGAAAGCTCAGGAAAGACTTTCTGAGTTCTGCAAAATTATATTAAACAAGACTAATTTATAGCTAGGGTAAAGTTTTTTGAATGAAAACCAATAAACTCTGAGTCTTGTGTAACAAAGCAAAGCATTTACAGAGTTAAGTGCTGCATTTTGCTGATGTGCAAACATTGCTCAGCAGTGAGAAAGAAAGGCATTTGGCAGCTGAAGCCACAGAAATAAGAATGAGAACTGCAGGGCTCATTTCTTAGTCTGACCTGGTAAGTCTGAGCAAGTTATTTTACCCCTGTGTGCACCAGCTCATCCCAGCTGCATCATGAAGGTTAAGTTAACCAAGAAGGTTCTTCACAAACACAAATTACTCTCTTATTTTGTACCAGCTGAGAAGTTGGTCCTTACTGCTTAATGGTCTGTCTTAGCCTGTGGACAGGACTCCAGAAGATAACTCTTCATTATAGGAAGGAGGCTGTGAGATCTTTTGGAAGCTTAGAAAACTGCTTTATATTTAACAAAAGAGGTCATTAACAGCTTGTAATAGTGGGGTGTATCTGGGAATTCACTCAGTCCAGAGGAGCTCTATTGTTAGAGGAGAGAAGATGTTCTCACCATGTGGGTTGCCAGAGACAAAACCCAGCTGGTACTTTTGCTTAACACATCGAGATCCAAAGCACAAAGCTGTAGGGACACTTCATCCGTCTAAAGAAAACTTTGGCAACAACAACACAGCCTGTCTCCACCTAAAGAGGGGTGGCATCTTCAAATTTATGGACAGAGAAACTGAAATGCTTCTGATTGCCAGTGCACCTGCTCCCACATGCTTATGTGCTTCTTCTTTCTTTCACAGATCCCCTGTAGCATCTTGGGGCTGTGGGTGGATTGTTTCTGTTCACCTCTGGCATTTCTGAATCCCTCCAGAGCAAAGAGAGCACAAATCTGCACTAGACACTGGGTGTACAGCAAATCTTGTCCACTCTGGAGATGGGCCAGCAGGGGTGGGTGGGTGGAGAGGGGCTGTCTCCATCCGAGCAGATGGAGCACTAGTCTGTAGATGAGGTTTTGCAGTCTGAGGAGGGTTCATGGTGTTGGCTTGCAGTGCAGGGTTGCTTCTGTGGTTTAGATCACTGAGGTGCAAGATAAGTGGCTTGGGGAAGAAGTCAGAATGCTCTGGAACCCTACCACCAGGCAAATTCCCTCTTGAGTTTGGTAGTTTTATCTTTCTGTCATTTTATCACTTTTAATACAATTGCTTTGACAGTAATTTGCAGCACAGTTTTATTCTCGCCAATATTTTGAAATTTCAAATATTTAAAGGGCTTCTGATTTGTCCCACACTCATCTGAGTGATGTGTTAAGTCTCCTTCTGAGCTGTACAGCAGAGAGGATGAGCCCCTGGGATCAGCAGAGCAGCTCACCATCCCACCATGGCAGCTTTGCCACAGATGTGTAGGCAAATCCTACACATGCCTGTATTTCCCTGGGCTGCCATTTGTCAAGGCCAGTTCCACTGAGGTTTCTAGACAGCCCAAAAGGCCCTCACAAAGCTTTCCTGCATTTGACATGAACAGTGACTTCTACTTGATTCAATCACTGTTTAATTTGATCCTCCATTTAATTTTATCAAAACCGTAGTAATCAAATAATTTGTACTAAAACCATTACAACTTCCACTTGTTTATTCTGATCAATTTTAATCCTCTAAGGAACAAGGTTTATTGGATAACTTAGTTACGAGATAACAAAATGCTGTCATTAAATCTACAAGGAAAGGACAGAACACAAAAAAAATGAAAGTTAAGAAGATCACAAGGAGTGCTCATAATGCAGCAAAAAAGACAATAACACACTGTTATTTAGAAGTCATGCTACACATGATGAAAGCTAAGCAGCATCCTGCTGTTTGTGAGATGGGAAGATCAATGGCATGTTTCAGTTGAGACATTTCAGGCAATGAACTGTGCTGAAAAGGGAAAAGAATGTAATTGTATGTGAATGAATTTGCCTTTTTTGAGTGTTGACCCACATGAAAGAACATGCGTCAGTGATGTTTGAGTTTTCCCTCTGCACAATAAACCCTCAAAAGCCAAAACCAGCTGAGTAAGAGGAAGGGAAAGATTTCCACTGCAGGCTGTTCCTCCATTGCTTTGAGAAATTAAAACACTAGAACCATAGAATCACAGAATCAGCTGGGTTGGAAAAGACCTCTGAGATCATCAAGTCCAACCCTTGATCCAACCCCGCTGTGGTTCCCAGACCATGGCACTGATGCCACATCCAGTCTTACTTGAAACACCTCCAGGGCTGGTGAATTCACCACCTCCCTGAGCAGCCCATTCCAATGTCTGATTACTCTCTTTGTAAATAATTTCTTCCTGATATCCAACCTAAACTTGCCCTGTCAGAGCTTAAGATCGTGCCCTCTTGTTCTACTGCTGGTTCCTGGGAGAAGAGGCTGACCCTCACCTGGCTACACCCTCCTGCCAGGGAGTTGTAGAGAGTGATGAGGTCTCCCCTGAGCCTCCTCTTCTCCAGGCTGAACAGCCCCAGCTCCCTCAGCCTCTCCTCATAGGACTTGTACTCGAGTCCTTTCACCAGCCTTGTTGCTCTTCTCTGGACCTGCTCCAGCCCCTCAATGTCCTTCCTGAACTGAGGGCCCCAGAACTGGACATGGCACTCAAGGTGTGGCCTCACCTGCACTGAGTACTGGGGAAGAATAACTTCCCTGGTCCCGCTGGCCACACTGTTCCTGATCCAGGTCAGGAACTGATACCACCTCCTGTCCCGCTGATCCTTCTCATCCCCTGACAGTGCCGCGTCTCTCCCCTGCAGGTCAACACCTTCATCTCCTTCGTGTTCCCCATGGTCGTCATCTCCGTGCTCAACACCGTCATCGCCAACCAGCTCATTGTCATGTTCAAGCAGGCGGCCCAGGAGAACCAGGTGTGCACCATCGGCGGGCAGCAGACGATGCTCAGCATGTCCATGGAGCCCAGCCGCGTGCAGGCCTTGAAACACGGCGTGAGGGTCCTGCGTAAGTACGGGCTCCTTTGGGCGAGGGGCTGGGCCAGGGGGGTCTGAGTGAGTGTGATTCGGACAGGAACAAGCTGAAATCGGTGAATGCTTTCCCTCAAAACGTCCCTTTCTTTTTGCCTTCGCTTCTTGATAAGCAAAGGCAAAGAACAGACCTGTTCGCGTGCAGAGACTCTCTGAAAAAGCAAAACCAGCATTTTAATGATCTGGTCGATAGCAACTTAAGCCTTGCATGTAATCACTTCACTCCTGTTGTTTTTCTGCAGAGCTTTGGTTCAGGCAGAGCTTAAATAAAAGATTCTGCACTCAGGAATTGAGCTGTTTTGCAAAATACTAGACAGCTCAACTAAATAAGCTGAGGAAAAGACCAAAGAATCTGGTAGCTTAAACTTATAGATGATAAAGCAAAAGCTGTTCTAAAGTAGTACCCAAAATAGCTAACAAAGTATGTCTGTACTGGTTTTAAATATTATATGGTGAGAGTTTGTTAGCAGAAAGCTTTCTGGCTGGTGTTTAGAATGGTTTGGTTTGGAAGGGATCATAAAAATCACTTAGTTCCAAACCACCTGCCATGGGCAGGGACACCTTCCACTTAGACCAGATTGCTCAGAGCCCCATCTAACCTGGCCTTGAACACTTCCAGGGGTGGGGCATCTTGGTAGCTGAAGTGCTTTGCCCAGGGCCATATTTCCTACAAGGAGAGAAATCCCTAGAGAAGGCAACAAGAACCTTCATGAGATTTTTCCAGCAGTTTTTCACAAGGGATGCAGCCCATACAGCGCTTTATGCCCATACCATAGATGAGCCACCACATGCATCCCAGCTTCAAACACTGCACTGGGAAACACCTACTGAGAAAAGGGATCATTAAATTCCCCATAATTATCTTGTTGGACCGTGTTTATTTACTGTCTCTGCACCTCAGTGAACTGTTATCCACAGGGGGTTGAGGAGGGAGCCTTGCTTTGGCTCAGAGCCTGCAAGAACTCAACTCCATGCTATCCTTTTCTGTTTCTTAACACTTCTGCCTGCTGCCATTAAGTGAGAAGCTGCCTTTTCTCACTTTGCTACAACACCTCACACCTCTCTCTCCTTTTAGCATTGTATACTCTTTGATCATCAAGAAGAGAGAGCTCTTCATGAATAATAAGAGAGAAGCCTAAACTTACACCTGGCATTGCTTGGCAGTGGTGGAAGTGCATCCCTTGCCCACAGGTCCACGTCTCCTCCAAGGCACTGAAAAACAGCTCTTCTCTTTCTGATCAATGAGTGTAATTTTCTTTTTCCTCTTCTTCTTCTTCAGACAAATTTTTGCTTTTGTTGTGTACTGCAAAAGCTGAGAACAGGTGGCAAAAGTGAGAAGCCTGAAATGGTGCAAAAGGGTGTACCATGGGGCCCCCAGGCAGTGATGCCCAGATATTCCATGCATCTTTGCATCTCTGCAGGGCCAGCCTGGCAGCAGGATTGAGCTCCCCTCCCTGCTAGGAAGACAATGAGAGGGTGCTGCTTGTTGCTTTTCTGTGCTGAGGAAGATCCAGCAGATGAAAAAACCCTTGCTCAGTTTTGTCTGTGATTCATTCCACTCTGCAGAAAGGCTTTTTTTATCCAAATGTGAGTGAAATCCTGCTGCATCTCATTCTTCAGATGCACTTGATTACTGGAGGTGCTTGATTCACATTTACTTTTGTCATCCCTTCCTCACGACTTTTTTTTTTTAATAACCCAGGCTTGTGAGCTGTCAGAAAAGTAGCAAAAAATACACAAGGATGCTCATGATTTATCCAGGCATCCATGGCAGCCAAAGCCATGTACAGGATCTAGGCTGATTTATGGAAGAGGATGGGAAAAGAAAAATGACGCTTGTCCCCACTATTAAAACTGTTGGCACGAAATCAGAGCTTCACGGGGGTCAAAGTATTTTCCATTTCCAAAAGTGAACTTTGGCTTGAAGAACAAAGAGGCTGACTTTGGGTTAATGTGAAATGTTTCCGAATTTGTAAAACTAGTGCTTAAAAAAGAAATTTTTGCAGCTCATGGTGTGCAGAGCTGTTGGATGAGATCAGAGCAGAAAAAAACTTCCTTGCTCCAAACATACTGAGAGTAGGTATTTGTTTACACTGAAACAGGACCTGAAGGTGATCAGGCTAACAGCTTCATTCGAAACATCCACAACATCATTGTCCTCCTCTTTGGTAGCATTTCTGTATTTTCTTGGCTCTTTCTGACTTTAATCATCTATAAAATAATGAGGGTGATCGGGATCAGGGTGAGGATGAGAGTGGTCATGTGTCAGCCCTGTTGCCTGGAAGCCACCTCATTAATTCAGTAAGTATGTGATTCCTGATTGTAATTCCCTCTCTGCTGTCAGTGTTCATCAGGTGTGAGGATCCAAATTCAGTGAGTTGCAGGCACTGGCAGCTTCCCAGCTCTTTTATGGAGATAACAGGGCAGCCAGTTCTGCTGTTAAAAATACCTCACACCAAGAGATTTCACACTTTCCTTCCTCCATCCAATTCCTTCCATTTCTCCAGCTATAAACCACCTCCAATTTGTATTATTATTCCTTGGCTATATTACAGTCCTGGGATGCTGAGTGTCTCAGAGCTGTGTGATGCTTCACAGAAAGTTGAATATTCTCTGTTTGCGTAGCCTGATATGCCAATAATTTGATAAAATTCTAAATAATTCTTAAACACTCACAGGCACACACCCACAACAGAGCAATCATAGAATCACAGAATGGTTTGGGTTGGAAGGGACCTTAAAGACCATCTTATTGCAATACCCTGCTACGGGCAGGGACGCCTTCCATTAGACCAAGTTGCTCAGGGCCCCATCCAACCTGGCTTTGAACACTTCCAAGGATGGGGCATCCACAGCTTCTCCAGGCAACCTGTGCCAGGGCCTCACCACCCTCACAGGGAAGAATTTCTTCTGGTCTAACCCTTTCCTCTTCCAGTTTGAAGCCATTCCCCCTTGTCCTGTCACTCCATGCCCTTGTCCAAAGTTCTTCTCCAGCCTTCTCAGAGCCCCTTCAGGTACTGGAAGGCTACAAAAAGGTTTTCCTGAAGCCTTCTCTTCTCCAGGCAGAACAACCCCTATTTTCTTAGCTGTTCCTTACAGTAGAGGAATTCCATCCAACAAGCAGCCTTTAGTGGATAAAACCTAATTTACTCTCTCAGGCCATTGCATTCCACATGAAGACATAGAAAGCCATATAAACCTTCTGCACCTTATCACATTCCAAACAGCTGCTCAAAAATCAAGGTGTATTTGAGGTTGGCTCAGGATGGAAGTGCTGTTCAGCCAAAGTATCTTCTTGAAAGGGGTCAGTTTTATGACATGGATTTATATCCCCACCAACACACCTGCCTGGAGCCCGTTCTCCTCCCAGCAGCCCTCAGCACCTCCCAGGTGCCTGTCAGATCAGTTCCCACATGGATGGAGGGAAGGAGTTATTGAATGGCACAGCTGAGCTCTGATAACGACGTTGAGACAAATTGATGGACATGAAGGGGAGGCTTTACATGTCCCTGGATGGACACTGGCTAAGCCTATTAAAATGTAATCAGTTCCAGGTAACATTTGCTCTGTTACAGAAGCTGCTTAGTGAAAGCAATTATAAAGCACTTAGAGGTTTAACCAATTAAAAGAATATCCTTCAGTCTCCCACAGCTGGCTGGGTGATGCCTCAGTAAAATGCTTTTTAGCAGATGAAGTCAAACCACGTTTTTTTACTGAACATCTATGAATTTTTAAATGATGATTTTGGGGTCTCTGCATCTCTTCAAGTAATACAAGACAAAGGCCAAGAATTAATGATGTATCCATGTATTTCATTAATTTGTGCATTAATAATTCCCCTTCTGAGCAAATACTTTGAAGAATTCATTCCTTTCTCCTCACTGATGCTGCAAGTCTGAGTTATCCATTTCAGAAGAATATTACCATGAGATTTAGTATAAGCATCCTACAAACAGGAATAGTAAATAGCTCATACTTTGCAGCCACAATACACAGAACACCACCAGTCTAAAAATCCTCAAACAGATGTGTTTCATAATTCCTATATTCTAAGGGAAACAAATTTATTTGTTCATGAATAATATCTTTTGCAAGAAAGGAACAAAATTCACGGTAGTTTGTATCTCTAATAAAAGATCTGAGCAACTCCAAGTGGAGTTCAGCAAAACCCCCGTGGCATTAAGCATGAGTGGAAGCTGAGTTTTACAGCTGAAGCATCACACTAAAATTTGGGAGGATAAATTACCTATTTAACAGTTGTATATATTTCCCGGAGATGTTTATACTTGTAGGTTTACTTTACAGCCTGCCAAGTGACATAAGAAGAAGAACTGGAGCGCTCTATAAACACCATCCAAGGAGCAAAAAAAGGGGGGGCAGGGAGACACTTTTTTCCCCTCTCCCTTTGCTGGCACCACAGCTTGGGCTGTCACAGCTTTCCTGCTGGGATGCAGGCTTTTGTGGCTCCATCTCTGCAGACATTTCCAAGACCAGTCATGCCCTGCAAGCAGATTTTCCAGGTGTTAAACCTTGACAATGCATGTGAGTGTTTGAAAAGTTAACTAATGTGTTTTTAAACATAAGGTCTGGCCAGGACCGTTAGCCAGTGTAGAAGCATGCAGTGAACACAGCTCCAGGGACCCTTTGGGAGGAATGAAGGAGATATGAAACTTAAAACTGGCAGGGAAAGAAGAAAGGGGCTGCAGAGGAAGCCAGTTGGGGTTATACCTGATCTTACCAAAAAAGAAAGGGCCTTGAACCTGGTGAGGAGAAGACGGGAGCCCTTACCTATCTTCCAAAGGGGAAATTTTTTTCCTTCCTTCTTCCTTCTCCTCCGAACATCCAGACATTCCCAGGGGGAATGGCATGAATGAAGTTTAAATTAAATCAGGAAACTTCTTCTTTAATTTTCAAAAAAGTAATTGTCTTAGAAGGAAACTTGGGAAGAGACCCCAGTTTGCACTGGGACAGCAGATG